TAATAATAATAATAATAATAATAATAATAATAAAATATATCTGTCTGGCCACTGTGGTAAACAGGAGGGAGGACTCCTCCGGCTCCGACAGAGTTCTTCTTCTGCTTCTGCTTCCTCTGTCGGTCTCTGAAAGGCTGCGGTTGGGAAATGGTTCCCTATCCCCAGCCCCGACGGTCGGTTTCTAGCCCTCGGGGCTGCTTTGAAAGGCCCCTTTCATCTGCCATTTCTTCACTTCTGTGGCCAACTTCCCCGTCGTCCTCAAACCGCTGCCCGCCGGGGGCGTCTTGCTGCAGCAAATAAGCCGAACCCGCTTCCTCCTCCTCCTCCTTAACCGGACCTCGCAGCAATAGGAGGTTGCCTTTACTCAGGGGGGTTGCAGACTGCCAGAAATAGTGCAAATTGAGTCCACTTTTAGGGTTAGGGTTAATGCTAGGGAATCATGGGAATTGTTTTCTTTCTTAGACATTGAACCTTCTCTGTCAGAGAGCTCTGGTGCCACAATAAAATACAGTTCCCATGATTCCCTAACCCTAACCCTAAAAGTGGACTCAATTTGCACTATTTCTGGCAGTCTGCAAACCCCCCCCCCAATGATAATGATAATGATGATGATATGGATCTAATCTACACGGCAGAATTAATGCAGCTCTGCACCGCTTTAGCTGCCCTGGCTGAGCGCTATGAAATTCTGGGGATTTGTAGTTCTGTGAGCTATTTCACCTTCTCTGTCAGAGAGCTCTGGTGGCACCACAAACTCCACTTCCCAGAATTTGAGCCAGGGCAGTGAAAGTGGCGTCAAACCGGATGATTTCTGCAGTGCGGAGGCAGCCTAAGGTTCTCTTGCGCATCCTTGCCCCAAAAGTTGGGAGTCCTTTTGCGGGACTTCCCAATGGAAATGGAAACTGGAAAAGCCGACCCTTCCCACGTTTCAAAACTTTGCACGATGTATTTTTGTGCATTTTGGTAGACCCCATAAAAGTATCCCTGTTTGGGTTTCAAACCTTGCGTTGTATTATTTTGTGGATTTTGGTAGACCCCATAAAAGTATCCCTGGTTTGGGTTTCAAATCTTGCATTATGCATTTTCTGCATTTTGGTAGAACCCACAAAGGTGCCTCTGTTTACTTTCCAAACCTTGCATTGTGTAATTTGTGCATTTTGGTAGATCCCATAAAGCTATCCCTGTTTGGTTTCCAAACCTTGCATTATGTATTTTTGTGCATTTTGGTAGACCCCATAAAGCTATCCTTGGTTTAGTTTCCAAACCTTGCATGGTATTATTTGGTGCATTTTGGTAGACCTCATAAAAGTATCCCTGCTTGCATTATGTGTTTTATGCATTTTGGTGGACCCCAGAAAGGTGCCTCTGTTTGGTTTCCAAACTATGCAACATGTTGTTGTTGTTATCATTATTAATAATAATCATTTTTGGTGTGCATTTTGACCGGCCCCACCCATAAAAGGACCCCTCCTTTGTGGATTTGGGGCGTTGTGATACTTCTTTTACTCCCTAGGGCCAAGATACAGAGTCTAGACCCTTTCCATTGACATTTCTTGCCAATCCAAGCTCCTTGGAGGCCATCTCTTTTCATGGAGAAAAGAATGAGGCTGAATGATGGGGAGGTTTCAAAAAGTCCCGTTCCCAAAAGCTCCAATTAAGAAAGCAGACCTTGGGGGCGTGGCCTACCTTCGGAGGGGGGGCGTGTCCCCTTGGCCCGCCCCGCCCCGCCCCTTTCCTGCCCTCCCGCCTCTGATTGGCTCCAGGGGCTGCCATTCCTCCCCGGGGCCACGCCCCCTCCTCTGCCTCTGCCGCCCTCGAGTCGAGTCCGTAAAGGAGATCTGGAGGTGACCGAGGCCAGATCGGGCGTCAGTGGCGAAGGCGATGCGGAGCTTGGATCGGGAAAGAAAGGGACCCCGGAGGACTTTTTTGGGGGAAGGCGGGTGACGAAAGAAACTGAGCAACACCCCCAACGCCTTCCGAGTGGAACCAAGAACTGGAATTGCGTTATTCTTATTTTTTTTCCCCTTGCGTTCCTTATCGTTACTTTTCTTTTTGCGGGAACGCTTCGCGGCTGATTCGAGTTCCTCCGGCTTCTCTTGGAAAGGAGAATGAACTGAAGGGAGCCGGGTGGGGGGTGGGGGGCAAGGAACGGGAAGAAGGCTCGTTACTTCTCCCCAAAGAACTTGGGAAACTTGAGAACTTTGGGGAGCGAAAGGAAGGGTCTGGGGGGGGGAGGGAAGGGGGTGTTCGTCTCTCGGTTTCCCCTCCATCCCTCCTCCTCTTTCGCGGCTGATTCGAGTTCCTTTGGCCTGGGGAGGCAAAGCGGAGGAGAAAAGGAACGGAGAGAAGGCTCGTTACTTCTGCTTAAAGAACTTTGGGGACTTGAGAGCGCACCCAGAAGAGAAAAGAGGGGAGATCTTTTTCCGTCGGGACTTGGGAGGGGGTCTCTCTCTCTCTCTCTGTCTCTCGGTCTCCCCTCCACTTTTGGCCTAAAGTAGAGGAGCAAAGGAACGGAGAGAGAACTCGTTACTTTTGCTTGAAGAACTTTTGGAACTTGGGAGCGCATCCAGAAGAGAGAAGACGGGCTGGGGGGTGTCTGTCTCTGTCTCTGTCTCTGTCTCTCTTATTCTCGGTCTCCCCTCCCTCCCTTTTCTCTTTTTGGGGGTGCCTTCCTTCCTTCCTTCCTTCCTTCCTTCCTTCTTTCTTTCTTTCCATCCATCCTTCCTTGCTTCCTTCTTTTCTTCT